AACATATTTTTATTAAAATAATTATAATTTACTTAGATTATTTTGGCTAAATCGGTTAGCCGACCAAATGAACCAAGTACTTATGTTTGATTTTAATTCAGTTTTGGATAACAGTTCGATCAGTCAGATTTTTCAAATGTTCGACTGGAATATTTCAGTTTTAACACTCCGGTCTGTTTCAACCGAACAAAACGATAAACAATATTACACATTCTTGTTAAGTTTTAAATTTTTAACGTGCATACACACATACGCTATTGTGCAAATTTATTTATCTTTGATATGAGATAAAACCAACAGTAATGTGCAATATTTGGAACAGTAATATGCAATTATTAGATTTTTAATAAATTACATATTTAACCAATAAACTATATTGTAATATATTAAAAATTCTAAACTTGCAAATGAGTCCTTTTGAGATGTCAAAATTGCAATGAACAGATCCAAAATTTGAATATTATCAGCTGACTTTACAATCACTCGATTTCAGACCCAAATCTGGCAACCGTCTTGGTGAACAGACCTCCGGCTAAGACCACGTCTTGTGGTCTGCGGAGGTGACTGTCACCAAGAAGACGGTAAGATATAAAGAAGATGAATATTGTCGGTGGTCGCCGGCTCCGACTGACCTTCGAATTGAAGGCCAATAACGTTGGAAGAGAGATTTTTGGAGAGAACCACCGGTTGATTGGCCGAATTGGCCGTCGCCGGGTCGGTGGCCGCGGAATTTGTGTTGGTCGGTGCCGGGTTTGGCCGTCTGCAAGCTGCACTCAGTGGCCGTCGACATCAACTTGCTTAAGAAGGCGATGACGCGCACTGAAGGAAGGTGGTGGCCGAGACACTGCCAACGGTTCTGGACGTACGACTGTGTGTGTGAGTGTCCCGTGAGTGCGTGTGTGAAAGAGAGATAGATAGATAGATAGAGAGGGAGAGAGAGACAGAGAGAGAAATGTGAGTTGTGTTGAGAGTGTATGCTTGTGTGTGTGTGTGAGAGAGAAGAGAGAGAGGTGTGAATTGTATTATGATTGGTGGGGCCCACATGGATAGTGGATGAATGTGTAATAACTAGAATGTCCTTACTAAGTGGGCAAGTTTAGATATTTGACCACAGTCTGCCCACTTATTTACGTTGTTTCCGTTGACTGATTTATCAGTATCTATTAAATTTGACTTAATCATGATCATGGATATGTTGGATCTACTAGTCCAGAACCATTCTTATTTCTTTCACTATCTACCATTCTCATATGATCCCTTATATTATATATATTAATATTTATTGGAATAAAATAATATTGTACTACAGCTTTTAATTTTGTATGGTAAAGCCAACGTTCTTAAAACCTCATTAATAAAATATGACTACACTTAAAATTTAACAGTTTTATCCTCGTTAATATATGATATAGCCATACTATCGAGTAGGTCGAGTCACGAATGGCTCGACCTCGACTCAAGCCGAGCTATGATAAAATCAGTTCGAGACAGTGTATGACGACTTGATAGAAGTCCAGGTATCTCAAAGGCCAGCAAATAGGCAGGAAGGATTCGTCGTTATTATAGGAAGTCGACCTCATACAACTCGAGGTCGACTCCACTAACCTCATAACTCGAGGACAAGCTCATTCACAGTGCAGCCCAAGAATATTGAATGGTTCAGGAACGAGAAGTGCTAGCTCCTCATCATAACTAACATCTCGAGGTTGAAGTCGCTCACCTCGAGTTCGAGGTCAACTTCACTAATCACCGTAACGACCTTCAGTCGATAACGGCACCTCGAGGTCGACCTCACTTCACACTGAGGTTCGAGACCAACTTGCTCCATAAATTGGGAGATAGGTAAAGGACAAATGGCAGGACAAACCGTTCTACGTCGACCTCCCGCCTCTCGAGGTCGATTTCTCATGACTCATAGCTCGAGGTATGCGATAACAAAAGTTACTTAGTACTCAATAGGCTTAACGGATAAGGATGGATCTTTAAGGGATAAGATGAAATCTTAATTAGCTGACTCAGATCTGACTTAGGAGTTATTAGGATATGGATAAATCGGGCAGTTGGGCAGGCTGACCGGGGGATTTCAGGTAGGTATTTATCCTCTATAAAAGGAGATGAGCGCTCTATGTACAGAGCATTCTTTTCACTTCTTGATACTGACTTTAGTATCAGAGGCTCTACACCGAAAACCCCTCCGGCGTTGAGTTCCTGCAGGTGTCCGTGGCGATCTAGAGGCGGTTCAGACAAATGAAAGCCCATCTCAACCGGTTTACTTCAGATCTAGAAGAGACCTCAACAATATAGAAAGTGGGCGGGAAGTTTTTTTTTTTTTT